TATATATATATATATATATATATATATATATATATATATATATATATATTCTATTTCATTCAAACACATAGGTTGAATTCGAGGTTTGTTTTCATGGTTCTGAATTTTGAGTTTCAATCGTGACTTTTTCTTTGTGAATTAGTTTTCACAAAAGGTAACACTATATCTCATTACATTATTTGATTTCATAATTATGCAAGATGTGATTTCAATGTTACAAAGTTGTTTAAATTTAAGTATGTTTAATTTTTGCATTATAATGTGAAATAGACTGAGATATTATATTATGAAATTTAGAGTAAAATTTATTTAATATGTATTTATTCTTGCATGCTTTAAAAGTCTCATTTTTATCTTGTTCTTGATTAAAGTATGAAACGGTATGTAGTTAGTAATATTTGAATGAAATTTAGTTTTAATAAGTTAAGTTACTTTTAAATATTTAATAAAGTCATTTTTATTTTTTTAAAGAAGAACAAAAAATAAAAATAAAAGAAATCAAATCTACAACTTTCTTTGCATTTCTTTTAATGCGAAATTTAAAAGTTTTCAATTGATTGATCTATGTTGATTTTTAAAATTTTTAAAAATAAATAAATAAAAGGAAAGATGAAAAAAAATAATAAAGGATAAAAAGTAAAAAATAATAATAAGAAGAAAATATAAAACAAAAAATATAAAAAGAAATATAAGGAGAAGATATGAATGAAGAGAAACAGAATCAACAATAAATAAATAAATATAAAAGTGTCCAAAAACATGAAAAAAAGAGAAATTATTTTAATTAGTAGTTTTTTTCATTTTAATGACTCAAATATGGAAAACTGTGTATATTTTCTAAAGTATTTATAGTAATGCATCACGTGTAAAATTTGTACGGGAAGGTTTATTATTTTCATTATTTTTATTTTGTGTTGTATTAATATATTGTTCATTTTTTAGAAAAATCGAATTAAGATAATATGTAATTTAGGCTTATAATAATAATAATAATAATAAAAAAATATTAAGATTTAAAGAACATTAAACTATTTTTAGTCTAAAAATACAAATAAATAAACAATTTGTGGCAAAGTTAAAAAGTGTTGCTTCCAGTATACTGCACTGATAAAGGAAGAAAATTTTACAACCCATTTAAAAATAAATTAAAGAAGGCAAGACATAAATAAAATTTTTAAGATGATAAACATAATATATAAAAAAAAATATTAAGTTAAGTCATATACAAGTCAATTAAGAAATCGCTAGAACCACGGGACTCGAGGGGTGCCTAACACTTTTCCTTCGGTCAACATAATTCTTTACCCCAATTTTTAGTTCGTCGACCAATAAAAAAAAGTCAAATTTCCTTTTGATTTAAGATTTAAATAAGGTAATTTGGAACACCAAGAATTAATTTCAAGTGGCAACTCTGAATAAATAAATAATTACTTTTCAAAAATGTCACTTTAATCGGAAATCTCTTCAAAACACTCATTTTGAGAAAAAATAGGGGTGTGACACCAACTATATAATTTCATATCAAATATTTTGATTTTCAAATATAAACATTTAATATAAAGATAAAATCAAATTCTAACTTTTTTAATGATTCATTACTCGTAACAATAAATTCTAAAATTTTCTCTCTTGTTATGAATATGTCTTCTATTTGTATGGTTCTACACTTAGCCACATATCTAAATTTAGAGGTTGAGTAGATGAATGTCAAGATTGATTTTCTTCATGGTGATTTAGATGGAGAGATTAATAAGAACAACCTGAAGGGTTCATAGTTAAATAAAATGGAATTATGTTTGCAAAACTTAGAAAACAATTGCTTGAAAGAAATTTCAACATAGTGGTACTTAAGTTTGAATTTGTTATTGTGAATTAGTTATTCAAGAAAACATTTATTGATCATTCGGTATTCTTTAAGTTCTCTATGATGATTTTGTTATCGCCTGTATTCGGATTAGCAATCAGAAATAATAAAAGATTAAAATAATAATAAAAAATCCAAGTCCACATAGTCCACTGTGTTCTTAATAAATTTAGTACCCTCAAATATCCAAAGTTGCAGATTAATTCTTCCCAAGATAAAATTTATTAACCATTGAAAAAGTAGTGGTACCTCAAACTTCGATAACTTCAACGAACTCAATATGAAAACAACGACACGGAGACACGATTAATCGATTTGGTTTTGTAGAAATGTATGCAAAAGAAGGGAAGATTTCAATGCAGTAAAATGAGAGAAAACCTCTCTATTTATAGCCCACGAAGGGTAAAGGTCGCAACTTTTAGGAAATAAGACAACTATTCAAAAAGGCCACGACCCTTTGGGAAAGGCACAACCTTTCACATAGCCACAACCCTTGACAAAAGACATAACCTTTCTTAAAAGTCATAGTCTTTTGGATATACTCGGTCAATCGACAGATGTGATGTATTTGAATCAACAACATATGCCACACAATCAACCCTTAAACAATTCTGGTTCTCATTGTTTTGTTCGTTTCAGCCATGAACATGTATTGGTTTATAAGTGCGTAGAGAACTAGCCTTACGGGATTCCCCTTGACGTGACTTACACTTCACATTACATAGGTAATTTTTAAATGTGTTATCACATGGATACACCATTTGATATTCCATACATCAAACTTAGGAACATTAAAAATTCCTAATGCATTTATACTTGTTACTTAACATTGTCTTATATGAGAATGGACCATAAAAAATATTTTTACAATGTTGAACCATTATTAAAGACATTGTTTGATCTTTTTGAACCTATATACCGGGATCTCCAATCTTTTAGATAGAGTCACTGTCACAATAACTTGTCCTAGGCCATAGTCTCTGTCACGCCCTGAGCCAACACCCTAGACGTGGTCGGCACCCAACGACCATTGCTGGGCTTGAGCGAACCCTTGTCCTGGCTAAATTAACTCAATGGAAGGCTCAACTTAGCTCAATTATAGAATTGGAAAAGTTCTTACAAAATAACTTTAAACATTGTTTTGGCAAAAATAACACTTAAGTCTGAAATATAGAATGTGAAATAAAGAGACACAACTGAAATAATAACTATCCATAAATGAAGACTCTAAAACTACTTTGATGAATGTTGGGACAGACCCCACAAGATTCTGAAATAGAAGGACTTGAAAGCATAAAAATGGATACTCCGAAATGCAAGGAGGTTCACCATTGACTCTGAAGCTCAAACTGGATCAATGAAGCGTTGCATGCTTTTCGTGGTTACCTATATCTGCATCATAAGATGATGCAGACCAATTGGAATCAGTATATTGAATTTGCGAGTATGCGAGTTTGAATGATAAACAACAACTATTAATCTTGAAAGGATTATGAATTGAACTTACCTTGGCTCTGCTAAACTCAAGGAGTCATAAATCAATATAAAGTAGTAAAGACACATGCTATATATATAAAGCTTGTGAAAATAGTTTAAACACTTAGATCATTAAAGATAATGTAATAATAAACTAAGTTTACTTATATATGAAAGTAATATAGTTTCTATGGAAGATTCTCTTACCGACAACCATCACTATGAGCCTAAGCGATGGTACAACGTCTTAACTTACGTTGCAAGAGGACCGCTATGTACCTTACCGTTGGTATAGAATCTGAACTACTAAGTGGATCCACTAATCTATGCTAAAAGGCACTAAGCAATCATCTAAAAAGTATGACCTATTATTTTCCCATGATGGCTACATGGTGTATGGAGACTTGAGTTGATATGAACTCGCGCTTCCATATTGGTTCTCAATACTACTCCAAAACTATTTAGCTCATATGTTTTTAAAAAAACTCCTCTAGTTTGAGGTAATTTCTCAAAACTCTCTTGGAAATCATAGTTCCCATTTTCCAAAACTAGCCAAAGGCACTATGGAAGTCAATCTTCCTTCTTTTCTCAAAATGCGAAAACATTTGTAACTCTTAGGGACTACTTAGTTCACTTATAGCTTTTGAGAAATGAACTCACTCATTGCTCTTTGCTTTACTTGAAACTTAACTCTTAGGGAAGTCTTAGTTCCTTTATAACTTTTGAGATTTGAACTCAACTTATTACTCTTTGCTCAACGTGTGGCTTGAGCCTTAAAACAAACTTAGATGTTGGTTTGAGACTCGTGAAAACATTAAGAACTCACTTTAAATTGCTTATTAACTTTTAGACTTGACTCTTAACTTCTTTGACTTTGATATTTACTTTCCCTGAACTGAATTATGGACTGAAGGACCATGATCTAATGTTTATGGTTCCTTCCATGATGTTTAGATGTACTTTAGAGTGTTGAAATCAACTAGAAATTACAGTTATCACTTAGAAACTCGTATGAAAAGATGGGGTAAAAATAGTATACCCACGTGACCCTCGCGCTTCGAGAGGCGCGGGGCTCAAGAGCCTAATGGACAAAAACTGTCCTGAGGGGCTCTTGCTGT